TGGTAAAGAAGTCGGGGCCCCGGCTTGCGCGGAGAGAAGTTTAGCGCGCGCAAGTCGGTGAGCCCTTTCATTTCCGGGAATACCGCGATGGGCGGGAACCGAGTCACCGAGAAGGTGACCTGTCGTTTAGATGGACAAAGCGGCCCGATGAATTTGAATGGCAATCGCCGATGTCGGCGACAGGTGTCGGATGACCGCAGCGTCGATTAAACTAAGGATGTGGATTAGTTAACGAAGCTCGGCGTGACAGGAGGAGCTGGGAGTCGAAAAAACTAGGGAGCCTTGTTGGTGGCCGTCGACATCGCACCATGCCGTGCTGAAAGTCGGTGAGGAGCGGTCGTTATTGATGGCCGCGTCAGTGTAGAAAATCTGCACTGATGAGGAGGGGGTGCTGAAGAGAGTGCAGATGGCGTCGAGCATTGTCGTCTAGGCGGTATTGCTCTTTTTCATCCATGATCCGAGTTAGGGAGTGCAATGCGTGAGGGGGTAGAGCTTCCATGACGGGGGTAGGGTGAGTAAAGGAAGAAGGCCTATTACAGCCGAGCTTATGCAGGGTGTAGCGCCCTGCCGGAGTGGCTCGGAGTCGAGTCTCTTGAACTGCGATACGGGTGGAGGCCAGGTCTTCAAGGCTGTTTATCTGGCTGTAGCTGGTAAGTTCTTCATTGGGCGTGTAATGCGGGAGGCCAATGACGAGTCGCTGGAGTTCTCGATTACGCTTTCGAGCGGAAGTTGTGTGGTGTTGGTGAGGTGGTAGTACGTGTAGTCGTACATAATTCGGGAAACCATAAATGCCTTAGCGAAGATGCGTATAGATCGCGTTCGTGCACCCCACGAGAGCGATTGGCTACTCGAGACAGCAGGTGGCTGAGCTGCTTCAAGATGAGGATGGTACGCCGGAACCAGGTTTATGCACGGCTGTCTTCATCAAGGTGAAAAACGAGAATTCGGATGCTCGTGCGGCGGCAGAGTGTGAGCCTGCGAGTGTGAGCTTGATGCACTGTTTTTCCGCTTCTCTGTCCGGTGTGCTACCATTGGAAGCGAATGGCGGTGGAGCACTTGCTCGTGGCCCTTGTTTCGAGCGTTCTCACCAAGAATGGTTATCGATACATGTAGAAAAGCGCGAAGCGTGAATTTTATTAAGTGGTTTTTGCGGGACCTTGGTATGGCAAACGTCCTGAGGGATGGGCGGGAGCGGGTTACCACGCCAGCCAGTTGTTTATCCCAGTTTAGTTTTATTTCAGCAAGTGTAAGCCTTCATTTTAGCGCAAGTTGATGCTACCTATGTATGGAACCGGACACTGCATCTATTTTTGATTCCTGGAATGACAAAACGGCTGGTATCATTCGATATCGGTCCACTGAGCCGTTGGTGTTAATTTGAAGGTCTCCCATGCATTGCAATGCGAAAGGCCGTTTAGCAATTGTGCGAGGCGCGAATTGCGGTGTGATGCTTTTCTTTAAATGCCTGGTCGACGCGACGTTCTCGATATTCGAATGTGTGTCATTGCCAGGTTGATGATTTATGTATGCCGTTAGTTACATACTTTGTATAGTTCTAAACAACTCAAAATATATCGATAGACACAACCCCGAAAATGTAAGAGATTTTAAACTGCGCAACGGCAACAAGAACACAATTTTTAAAAATCGAATTTGGAGCCTCCGATTGAGTCAATGAGATAGATGGCGAACTGGTGCCTCCTTATTGTTTCTTGTTGGTCAAAAACGGAAATGTCGTAAGCCTACAGGTTACGGAACTGCCGATAGCGCTCAGAAATAATTATAGCCTTGATACGAATATATTCAGGATGCGAACCTCCGAAAGAATATTGTCGCATTGTACAATCGTGAAGGTGACGTCGTGAGCTTCCCCTTTATGAATGTAAGCAAAAAAGACAAAAAAAAAAAGACAAAAAAAAAAAAAAAAGAGCCGTGGTTATTTAGAGCCCCGCAATAACACTAGGAAAAGAAAAACAATCTCAGGACGGACTTGACCAGTCCGAACCAGTGTTTTGTTATGCGTCGTCTGTGCTCCTTACTTCGCGTGGAGGCTTGACAATAAAGCAATTTCGGAATCGCAGTGGTGGTTTCTTCCTTCTTTCTTTCTACACACTGAGAGGTCTTAGAGGGAGGAGGGTGGGGGTAGCCATTCTTCGTAAGAAAGCCTCACCAAAGCAGTATATAAAGAAGTAAAGGAAGAGACAGCTCACAGGAGTCAGTGTCCCCTGTCCGAGCGCAGCAGTTAAATATATGAGATAGCGGTCCATCGGACCGTGATACACAGTTTCTGTGTGCCGATTCCCACTTCCGTGTGCTGGGCAACTACTGCGGAAAGCAGCGCTGCAGCAAAAGGAACATCGAGGTAAGCTTTTATGTCAATCTCTAGACATTTACAGTGATGACATCGCTGTAATAACATTGCAGTTGTTTAAGTGTTCTCGAATAACGAGTTATGTAGTTCTTCACTTTAGAGTGAAAGAAATTTAGTAATATGTTGAATTATTTCATGACAATAATTGGACTGTAGTTAACTAATTAACTTTTAATTTACAGTAAGAGCATTGCTCTAATAAATTAATATTTTTAATGACTATTTGTATTAAGTGACAAAATTGTGTACTTTACGGTGCAGGTAATTTTGTAATGCTTTTATTACGTTATGTCAATCATTTCGTTGAGGTTATCCTGTTAATTGTTTAGCTTTGTAGGTTTCCTATCAACGAAGAAGCGTTACCACCCCAAAACCATTTTAAAGAAACGAACAGGGGGAAAAAAATGAAAAGAATAGGCTGTAGTTGAGCCTTACCTCGCAAAATCTCCATGCGTTAAACACTCTTTGGAAGGTGAATCTTGATGCGATCGTTTTTGTCCCGGACATCTACCGAGACTTCGAAGGAGAAGGGCTGTTTTTATAGACACACAACCCCTTCTGCCAGCCAAAAAGAGTGAGGTGTCATACGCGAGAAAACCAAGATGCGTCGATGACAATGTTCCAATTACAACCAAAGCTCAAGATGTAGCGAACCAACAAGATCCAGTAAAAATCTTGCAAGCAAGAAATCAACCTTCCAAGTTTGCGTAGAGGGTCAGGCGATACTGTACGTGACGTCCTCCACCGCCACGCTGAGAACGTCAAGTGACCACCGCCGGCTAAATTTCGTGCCACCTGCCAAATTTGGGGGATCAGTTTTCTGCGACGCTTTAGTGTAACGCTGTTTCATAACGTTCGCGAACTCCCACGGTTTTCCCCTATAAGTAATATAGGGTACGTTACAAAGGTTGAATGTGAAGCGAGATGGTGTCTCATGAGCCGAGATCAAAATCAAAACTTCGTTGAAACAAGAGAGATGATGTACGTTATACGTTCCGCCAGTTTAATTAAGTGACGTCAAAGTAATCTTAATGTATTGCCAGTACTTTCTATAATAACGTCATGGTAATTACCTTACCTTTAACTGGCTGTGATCGTTTCAGGAATTTTCTGAGAAGCAAATAAATATGTAACTTGATGACAAGACGAAAGCAATTTGGCCAACTTTTTACGTGAGGCAGTAAAACTGGTGATAATAAACCCCTTCCTTGTTTTTTCTCTACCAAAGCCTGCGTTGGTGCGAAGATTATCCTAGTGCCTTAGTATCCGGCATTTATTAAGAAATAAATTGGGAACGGAAGGTCACTTGTTAATGCGTTGATTCGCTGCATCCTCAAAGAATCCATAGAAAGAATGCCAAAACGTGTTACTGACGATGATCACGGAAAATGGAAAAGGTTTATTATAATTTAAAAAGAAAAATAAAAAAGAAAGGACATGTGGGTCAGGGAGAATTTTTAAAGACCAGCTTGCTCATTTCGCTGTCTAGTTTTGTCTCATCAGCTAGTTTACAATAGATACTGCTGCTTCGTTTTAATTTTGGCTACTGAAGCGTTGACTAATTTGATTGTGGAGTATTTCTTTTTGGTCTTGATAAATATTTTTTCTATCTTCATATTTCTGTCGTTTCTGCTCTGAAACCCTATTCTAACAATGTCTTTTACTGGAAAAGGAAGCAGTATCTGTAAATAGGGCACTAAATAAACAAAAGAAAAGGGTGACACCAAGAAAATAAAAGAAATGCTTAAGAAACGATTTTTAGCCAGACAATGGGTATAATACCTTCGTTGTACCTGCTCTGACTGTACATGCAAGGAACCAAACGGCAGGCAGGGCAGTGATTCGAGACAGGCTAGGTTCAACGCATTTGTGTATTTCTTGAAGAATGCCACCGGGCAATTGTTGGGTTCTGCTGCTAAATGTGTATAAATAGGCTGAGATATTTTTGTGTTAAAAATTTGTCTTCATAAATATCTTCTAGATATACGAGTGCTCACGAAGAGTAAAATAATACTGACATCGAAAAAAACTGTTTTTTATGTATGCGTTTTTTACGTCATAAACTATGAATTATTTCAGAAGTTGTGGTCACTGTAGGAATTTCTGACTGTCTGCAAGACAGAATATTAAAGATTTAGCTAACTAAAATTAGGACTAATGGTAAATATGTTTTTTTAAGGTAAAATGTATTGCTTGTATTATGAGAGGGGCAGTTATGAGTAATACATTCACATGGTATTTCGTACAACCAAGCAGAACACGCTTGTTGAAAGTTGCAGCTGAATGATATGCCTGAGTTTGTATCATAAAGAGTTTTTTCCTTATAATTATGCACAAACGTAAAAAAATAAACCAGTTGGTAACACATATCTGTGCAGCATTCTTTCTTCAAACTGTTTCCAGAAACCAAATCCTGCTAATATAAATCATGACTCTGCATCTGTGCAGCATTCTTAACATAAAGTGTTTTCATCAAGGTCCTTTCTACTAATATAATGCCCATGACTTGGCACCTGTGCAGTATTTGTTATACCATGTGTTCCGAGTGCTGAAAAAGGTGGTTTCCCGTTACAGCATGATGAAAGAAAAACTGAACGCGGACCCGTCTAAGGTGGCCCCCAAGAAGGAGCCTGGTGTGGACAACTGCTGGTACATGGCCGGCATTTGTGCGCTCGTGCTCTTCTTGACATCGGCCACCATACGGTCTTCGGGCTTTCTCTACATCGGCATCATGGACGAGTTCAACGTGGACAGGGGACAGGCCTCGTGGCCCATCTGTCTCATGGGTGCTGTGAGCAACATGGCTGGTGAGAAAGAAGTTTCCTAACCCTCAAGGGTTGTTCAGACGGTTGCTTCTGAGCGTGCCATAGTGCGTAGCGCCCGCTTGGAATCGCTTACTACGAGATAACGCACTGGCACACTGGCGCCATCTGTCAGGCAGCCCTGGAACTGTGTAAAACTACAGTAAAATCCTGAGAGATGCCCCATCCCCGAAAGTTAGCCCATCTCTATTTTTTGCTTGATTTGCTATATCTTTAAACACCGAAAGATAGCCCACTCCTAGTAATAGTAGTGTTTTGATCAATGATAGCGTCGGCGTAAATGAAGCTACTTAGCTAAGCGAGCGTTGCTGACTGGGAAGTACAGTCGTTTTTGCTTCGTTGCCCCTTGCCACAATAACAAGCTTAGAATGGACACGATCTAAAAATAGAAAATTTTTAAAACTTTTCTTGATTGCACACCGAAAGTTTAGCCCACTCCATATTTTCACCCTATTTGCTCTCGATGTTAGGTGGGCTATCTTTCGGGATTTTGCGGTAGGCTGAAATCTTCGGTAGCGCGCGTGGCGCCCAAAGCTCAGTGAGTAAATGTAGTATATACTAAGTCTAAAAAAAGAACTGCATGTGAATCGATGCTGGAAAAACTGGAGCAAGCGTGTGGTATCAGAACGCGCATTTCTTGCGCGAGTAATTGAACAAATTGAGCACTTTGCTAAGCTAAATTCGCGCGTCTTCGCCTCTGATAACAAAAACATTACTCGCGCAGTTTGAAATTAAGTACACTACAGCTTAATATTTCTATAAAAAAAAAAAATTAAAGCGTGTTGTAGAGCAAAACTCGCGCGGAATTGCCTTTACGGGGCACAATCGAGAAAATTAAACTCGGTATCCGGACCGCAAAGATTAACTACGCATTGCAGAAGGCTGAAACTCCGTGAGAACGTGGCAGTAGTGGTGGTGACAATATGAAGAGGTTTGGGAGCATGACGTAAACCAGGATCAAAAAGTCCGGAGTGGAGGTGTCTTACCACAGCTTACGCAATTTCGATTTTCCTTACAGGTCTGGTGGCCGGACCTCTCTGCCAAAAGTTCACGGCCGTGCCCGTCATGTACGCCGGCAGTGTCATCATGTGGGTAGGCATCGTGGCTTCGAGCTTTGCGCCGAGCATTACATGGATCACCATAACACAAGGAGTTGTTTTCGGTAAGAACTTTCCCTGAAACCGGGAAGAAGAGCGAAATAGAACAAACAGAACACGCGAAACATTGGAACACTGACTTCGTTCAAAATTCCATGATTACAAGAAGAAAACAAAACCAAAAAAAAACAAAAAAACAGTAGAGTTACCCTTCAAACTACACAAAATTGAAATTAAGAAATATATTTTTCCCTTCTTAAACAACATTTAAATAACAATCGGTAACAGATAAGTTAAGTGCTGCGTGGGTTAGTCAGTTTCACCTGTTCCAATGTGTTAAACTATTGGGGAGGAGGCCGAGGAGTACGTGGCACTCCCTAGCGGCCACCTTTAGAACTAGCAATGTTTGGCAAACAAACCCTCCAACCGCAGTCATTAGTGCATTCGCTGCAACGGAAGACGATGATGCAAGGCTCGTAAAAGTTATGTGACACTATTCTTTTCTCCTAAACGCAACTAAATGAAAGTAATCTAGTTCCCCCTTGCGTTCAGTGTCATCGAAGTCCTCTTGAAATGCAAAACAGGCAAATGCGTGGTCACGCACGGCGTTGCGCGCGTTGGATCGTGCATGGCCAGCGTGACGTACGTATTTCTTTAGCGATTGACAAAACACGCACTTTACTTTTCAGTTAGACTGTCTCTCGCGAGAGCCATAGACCACATCGGCGAGAGCAAGCGGTGCCTCATTGAAGGATAGGAGGTGTTCATCTGCGATCATGTCATCGAGTACAGCATGGCCTCTGAGCCGCCGATCGAAATTTTTAGCCGACAGGAAACCTATGAAAACTTATACTCGGTTCAAAGCATGCTTCAAGCTCTGCGGTATGCAGAATGTGAGCACCACATCGCTACAAACAAATATGCAGCGAGCGCGGAAATAATGCGGCGATACGCTAACCGGGTCCTGGCGTCGGCGTTGTTTGCCACATAGCGAGTGTTCCTGCTGATGATGATAATATTAAAACTGCAACCCCTATAGTTCGATCTCCTCGGCAATAGCTCCAGAATACTGCAGCGGAATTGCACAGGGATATGACACGTGTAGTAGACCGCTGGTGAGAGTCATTGCTTAGGCCGAAAATTGAGTCTTGAAAGTACTGAGCGAACGTCATTATACATGCTGACGTATAGCTGACTTCGCAATCTCCTACTTTTTTTGGCGAAAACGCTTTTATTGGTTTCGTCGTGCGTCATGTTCTTATTCGTAGGCCGTGGTATTGGCTCCCCATGCAGTCTCTAAAAAGTGGACAAACGTGTATTTTTAAAGAGAAGAGGAGAGGGAGGATGTGTTATTACTGATCACAGATATACCCCGTTCAATCCTAAGCTGACAGTGCGGTGGGAGCTACGAGCTATACGAACCAATAGACCGCCTCTTTTTCATCACCTGGCTCCGCTCTCTTTGCGTAGGCATGGGTGTAAACGTAATCACGTGTCAAGAAATGGAAGTATGAGTGGTCTTATGAGCACGTAGCTTCCACTGCACTCTCAGCCTAGGGGTGAATGTAGTATCATAGTTGGTAACATGGCTTAGGAATTTATTACGCGGGGACGTGAACAGGCCCTTCATGTTTGTACGTGCTCCCGCGAGATAGTAAATTTTTTCTCGATGCATTATGTACCTACCACCCAAAAAATTAAGCATTTGGGAGTTTTTTTTTCTTTTCAGATGTTCATAGCCTGGATTTTGGTGTGCATTGAAGTGTAGTACATGCAGAATGAACTATATTGTTTAATGACATTTATTTTTCACTCTCCATACGTGCTTCGAGCAGAGCTCCTACTATAACTGTATATATGAAAATATCTTACTCAATCAGATGACCCCACAGCGAAAGGCTAATTAGTATCATTTAAAAGAAAGTGTTATAGAGTTTTGTTGCAGGTAGTTTAGAGTGATAATATTCTCTTTTAGAAACGTGACCTGTAAAAAACGCCTGCGTATTTTATTATGCGTGTGGACCTAATACCAATTAATTTTTTCTTTGTTTCCACCAAGGTTTCGGCTCCGGCATCGTCTTCATAATGATGCCGGTCTTCATCAACCAGTATTTCGACAAGTACAAGGGCCTCGCGCTGGGTATCATGTACACAGGATCTACTAGTTCCGCCTTCGTTTTTCCGAGGCTCCTTCTCTTCCTGAAGGAAACGTACAACTTCAGGAGCAGCGTCATGATCTACGGCGCTATCATCATGCACATCACGGCCATCAGCCTCATCCTCAAGGAGCCAGTATGGATCCGGCGCAAAAGGTACGAGGACAAGCTGGCCAAGCAGCGCGCAAAGGCAGCCATCTTCTCAATTGAGAACGGGATCGCCAAGCCGGCTGTGCACCCCGATGACCTGCCCAAGTCGGGGCCGAATTCGGAAAGTCTCACCTACGGTCTCACTGTCCTGCGTTGCCCAATGTTCTATGTCATCCTTGTAACGTATATCATCTATGGATACAACTTCGACGTCTTTATGACGACCATCGTCGACTTCGCGAGAGACAGGGGACTGTCTATTCAAGACGCCGTGGGCCTCGTACCGCTCTTCTCCATAACGGACACCATCGGACGCCTTGGCCTTCCGGTGCTGGCTGACAGGGGTTACCTAAGACGCAGCACTCTAGTCATGTTCAATTACCTGCTCATGGGTGGATCCCTGCTTGTGCTGCCTTGGGTGTCGTCGTACACGGGTATACTGTGCGTGTGCCTCAGCGTTGGAATCTACATTGGCTGTGGCATGACGATGTATCCCGCACTCATGGCCGAGTATATTGGGCTGCAGCGACTCCCAATCAGTTTTGGCATCGTGGGCGCCGTTTCCGGACCGCTCTTTCTGCTGAAGCCCTTTTTTATTGGTGAGTGAATCATACATACGTTTATTAGGACTGCTGGGAATAATAGGCTTAGATGGGCAGTTTGTGTTTGCGTCGCCGTTAGGGTTCATGCATTGCGCTGTGTGGGCGTGACTGTGCAGACTCCAGCGTAAGGGGGCGTCTTTGAATAGGGAACGCTTCGATGTAGCGCAAGTTTATCAACGATAAATGCAAGAAATGGTGAAGTGTGCACGCTGGGTTCAGTGAACGGGACGAGAAAAAGGCAAAATGTTTACTCATATCTTTATTTGTATCCCAAATTATTCGCCTATGTAGAACTTACATGAAAGAAAAAACTATTTCCGCAGATATAAAACTAAAAGCTAAGAAATCTATGTGCAAACAAAAATGGGATTCACCGGTAAAATAAACTGGAAATAAATCAGCCATTCTCACATATTTTACGAGAGGTATGAGAATACGTAGAAAATATGAAGCAAACGTACAATATAAAATGGAGCATAAAATTTACAGGAGTTAACGTACGCGCCGATAAAACTATAGTGGCAAAATACCTCCAGCGTGGTATTAAACTTTGTAAGCACTCTAGTACAACTTTGCCCGCCAACATCCGCAAAAGGCCCTGTGAGAGAAAATCTCATTTAACCTACAGAGTTAACTTAAAGAACTACGAGGAAATAAGTTGGAGTCATAAAATGCAATCCGCAAAGACGTAATGAGCGAGCTATACATCATACTTATTAGTTTATTCGTAAATAACGTTTAAAAAAAAAACAGATTTTTTGTTTTGTGTTGTTGTCCTGTACCTTTATTTCCCTCATGGATGAAGAAAGAATAAAACAATTAAAACAAAGACAACACAACCTCAACCACATGAAAGATGTGGTTGTGTTGTCTCTGTTTTAATTGTTTTATTCTTTCTTCATCCATGACTTAAACCAACACGCTCTTCTCCCAAGCATACTTATTTCCCTCGTTTCCGTTTTTAGCTATGTGCACATTGTACACCTTATTTACTGAGCGGATAGGAGTGATTGATCCTCCACAAGAAGTTCTCAACAACGGAAAATATTATGGTTTTCAGCGCGAGACGGCTGCCTTCGCGGCGCTTTAAGCGAAGAAAAAATATATATACAGAGAGGTTCAGTTTGCCAGACACCAACCTGTGTCTAACGTACTGCAGTTCACTTCAGATTGTTTGTTGATTTTCTAATCTGTAGCTATATAGAATTTGATTATTATGTGAATACACGTTGGCGCTGAGGTAGCATCTTCGGGGGCGGCTAACAACAAATATCACTGACACGTTTTTAATTTTATTACAGGTCTTTTTAGGGATAAAGTCGGCTCCTACGATCAAATGTACATACTCCTGGGATCTGCTCTCATTGTGCTCGGTGTGATTTGGCTCTGCGTCGTCTGCACCGAGTGTCGACAACAAAAGTCGTGGGACATTGACCACGGCACATGCCATGTTTCTCCCGTGGCGGGAGACGGCGTCTACAGCCAGCCTTGCTTCATCGCTGAGAGTTGGTACAAGGATAAACCCCTCCCGGAAGACCAGTGCAGGAAGCGAGACCGGACGTGTGCTGAAACATTTTGACGATGAATATGATACTCAGCTTAGCAGAAACAGCCGTTTCTAACTACGCGTCGTTCTTCTGAGACGGCCGTGAAGTGCTCTTATAACGTCGCCAAGGACATTCTAGAAGACTGTTCGTGGGGCGTCAACGATGTCGAAGGAATTGTGAAGGTTTCGTGTTTCATTCCTAGAGTATGCTGTTGACTTATGTTGTGTTGTCCTACGATTAACCACACAAAACCTCACCAAACTATTAGCATTAAGAAAACACGAGACGTTGGGGACCCTGATTGTATGAGCTGAGAAACTGAGGGAGAGAGGGAGACGAGAGTAAGGGTAACTGCCTAGAAAAGGCAAGGCTTATTTCGCGTATCTTGCTTACGTCTTGTGATATTCATGTTTGTCTGTACCGAGTCAGTTTAAAAGAAAATGGATATGTTATTTATGTGTATAATTGAAGGATGCATCTTGTTTCCTTTTTAATTATAATACGGTTGGATAGTCATTTCAGCAGGATTTGTGTTGATCTCACGTATGTTCGCATACTTCATGCCAGACTTGTACCGTACGCATTACAAGTAATCAAATTACTTGTAATCGATTACTTTTTGGAGTAATTTTGTAATCAGTTGATTACTTTTATTAGGCAGTAATCAGAAGAGTAATCTGATTACTTTTTGAAGTAATAAAATTACTTGTAACCGTTACAATTTGTCCACGGGCCCCCCCCCCCCCCCCCCCCGGCACACGCCTTTTTTTTTATGAAATGACAAAAATAATTTTTTTTTTTTTTTCGAACGGAAAAAAGAAAGATTTTTGCGGAGCTGTAGGCAACGAATCTCTTTCTATGTACAGTTTCTGTGGAATGTCCGTTTTTTTTTGTGTGTGTTTTTTGTTTTTTCCGAGCTGGGACTGGGAGTGGGAAGCCCCAGAGAAGTCACAGTGCGTGACAAAGGCCATTCAGGGCGAAGTTTGAGGAAGCAGAATGTAGCTTTGTGAGTCCTTCGTTCAAACTAGCCCCCTCACGCACACGCACACAGAAATAAAAAAAAAAATCCTGCTTAGGGTACCTACTCGCAGCCCGTAGGAGAACCAGAACCGAAGAATGCCTAAAGCGGATGCAAAATATAACAAAGGCAGTTGAAATATTTCCCCATTTCCCCTACGTGGTCTTTGTGACAAGCAATGTTTTGAGTTGAGAAGTGGTCGGGGCGATCTCTTCCGCTAATGGATACTACACATGATCCGTTTCAAATCCTGGAGCTGCTGCTCTTTTGTATAACATGCGAGCCCATCCACATGTGAATAATAAAATGAGCGACGCAAACCTTGAGCGACAACTCTTGCTCAAGCTTAACAAGATCTAGAACCCCCTCCGCCCCCCCCCCCCCCCCCCACACACGTACACACACACACTGGCGAACGCCCAAATCATTAAACGTCTTCAAACGAATTCTATGCTTGTGTCCGCATTGTGAAGGGGGAGCCCGTTTTTCTTCTTCAATACGTGTGCAAATGTCAAATGTAGGTCGGAAGTAGTTCATTGGTTATGAGCGCTAAAGACGTGTCTTCAAACAATAAAGTAATCGGAAAAGTAACGATTACTTCTTTAAGTAATGTCCAATTACTTTTGCCGTCGAGTAATCAAGTAATCTAATCGAATACTTTATAACCAAGAGTAATAGTAATTGTAATCGATTACTATTTTTTAGTAACGTGTACAAGACTGCTTCATGCTAATCCCTGCTGGTATCGGGGATTGCTAACACTGTCATTGTCACAATATTGTTGTAAATAAATCGAGCGTTAATCAAAAAAAAAAGAAACAGCCAAAAAGTTAGTTTAAATCTGCGTTTTTTTACTTATCGTGAAAGTGCACAGCCTTATAAATGTGTACTTGTTTTCAAACTGCTAACGATGGGCAACTATGCCTTGGTCATCAGTGACACTTTTCGCATGTGTTTGCAGTAGTAGTATTTTTCATTGCTTCATTTTTTTCCAAACTATGTGCATTCTCTTTTTTTCGATTAAATTAAAAAAACAAAAACAAGAAAATACAAGGCATATAAAATGACACATTTATTTGTGGAATCATATTAAATGAGTCAAGATCAAGCAGCATCAGATGTAGCTTCACCACAATTCCAAAGGAATTTAGATTTCAATAGGCTTTAAACACACACAAAAGCTACAAAGAAAAAAACAAAACAAAAAGGAAAATAGAACACCGTAAGTAAGCAAAGGTGTTATGTCGCTTTTTGTCTGCACTCGTCTCGAAGTAAAGTTTTACAATTAATTTTCCCTTTCAGTTCTATCTATGTTTGGCTCGGACGTGACGAACAGACAAACAGGAAAGTCGGCCATCATGTTGCGCTTAAGAAAGTTTACATAAAATTAGGAATTAGTGAAGGTGATTCCTGGACACGCCAATCAAATTTCACTGTGCTAAAAAAAAAAAAAAAAAAAAGGGTATAACGTAAACCGCGCCGGGGCAAGCAGTTCACGGTGCGAAGAAAAGAGCAATTTTTAATTGTGTAGTGCACATAATTCCAAGCTTTCGCATGTAGCAGCTTAACATATAAAAAGTGTAGCTGGCAGAACATATTAGATTGCTCTACGTATAGAATGGTGATTGCCTCGAAAAAAATAACTATATAAGCTTTGTGGTATTAATTGAAACGAAAGATTTGTTCTGGCGGGTCGATGCTTGGCCGTAATAAATATATTGAAATGCCGCTATAATGAATTTTGGCATGCATGTAGGATGGTTTATTCGTCAGGTTGTGCCAAAGTAATATATTTGATGGGGTATCTGAAATAACAAAGAGAGATAACTCAAACGAGTTTTACCTACCGGAGGTGGTATTAGCATAATATTAAACAAGCTGTGCTGCTACGGACGGGTATTGCTCTACAAATTATTTGTCCTCCACGGCCGAAGAAGTGAAAGCATGTTCAGAAACCCAGCCCTGATATCTCTCAAAGTACATCCTTTATATTGGCACTAAAACGATAAGGCCGCCTGAAACAGCTTCTGTAAAGATGTCGTCCCTGATTGCGACAACGCTGCCCACCCTCATCACCGAGCTATTTCCGAAGCACTTTCGTAGTCCGAAAAGCGGGATATTAGTTATTCCGTCGTTTAGTTTCAGTCTTATACGTAATGACACATGCTCATGAGGTCGATCACCTGAAGTGACGGATATAAAGGGAAACTTTGGCCTTCAAGCCAGTAATTCATTGGGTGAACATGAATACAAATACAACCTTTTGAGAGGCGGCGAGAACCAGGGGTGCATATGCAAAAGCTGGTTTAGTAGTATTCGTGAAAATTCGAGGGGTGTTTCAGATGCAACAAGCGCCATTGTGCATTTTGTTTACTTATGTTTTACAGTAGTGTTAGATAGGTAGATAACACTCATAAAATGCTTGAATAGAAAATTCAATAATGCGGTCTTTGTCAAGAGAAAGAGATACGGATTTTTGTTTAAGACAGTTATATTTAATTTTTGCAGGACTCGGAGGATTTGAGTAGTAAACACCTTTTTCAGCAACAACATATGAATATCTAGATCGGAGAGATTGGCTCTTAGAGTGTTTTGCGGATAAGTAGACGCGCAGGAATTTCTTAGAGTACCGTCTAATCTTATGATTCTGTGTTTGAATGGAAGGTGCCCAGAAGTTTGGCGAAACGTTAAAAACGTTTAAAAGCAATCGACCAAAAACGCCAAGGTTAGTGGAATATATTTTACAAACATATACATATATTTAAATTCAGCGGCACCTGTTGTGGGTCCGAATGTTTTTGACAGGAGACACTGCCACTGATGTTTTGGGAAACGTTACTAGCAGGTGCAGCAGAATTAGGAATCCCTTTTCTTGATGCTAATGTAGTTTTTCTAATGGTAATTTCAATAGCAGTGTCCCATTCAATAATTTAGAGGTAAATGTTTTGTTGACACGATGATCGCAAGTTAAAGGTGAAACGCCTATTACAATTAAGCCTCGACATTGCAGGAATAGCATGCAGGAATTTTTTCAGATTCCCGTGAGTCATTCAGTAGTAATTATTGCAAGGAAGGTGCGCAATCCGCTATTGCAGTCTAAAAGGAAATAAAATGTTTCTCGGAATTTTGTCTGCTCTTCGCCTTTTCGTCCTTCGTTTAACGCAATATCCGGTATTTTTACTGGGGACATTATAAACTCCGACAAGCGCTCACTCGGTAACTTACAACGTGAGTGGGTGCATGCATATTCGAGCGCTCAGACGTTGATCTGCGTGTTTAAACCCCCTCTGAGTGGCTACTCTCATTGCTCCTATGTTAAGTCGAAAAAGGGCCCCAACGCGCCCCGTGATCACCTTGATTTTTTAGCATACAGATCATTTTTTTCATTGCATATAAATTTATCAGGATCATACTAACCTTATCGAGACTGGCATGATTACGTAATTGTGTTTAGTTCCAATTCGTAAAACAATAAACGTGTGCTGTGTATTAATAGTTTTTAACTAAAATGTTTATGTTCATTTCATTTTGTCGTTTCTTACAACAATGAATTAATGTTACATTACTTTAAAAAGTTCTGAGATTCGAAAAACTATCAGACGTCGTAAGAATATATAATCTAGCCTTGAGCGGTGCTTAATAATAACTTTAAAGAAATTAAATTTTATCAAGATAACATTTACCTGTAACCGTGCAAAACACACACAAAAATAAACAAACACAAAAAAAACACCGTATTGTGCGCGAGTTTGTTTCATTGCGTTTGATATAAAAATAAGGAGAGAGCTAGTAGTCAGTGCACTTAAATGGGTGAGTTTCCTTGTTATGAGTGGCGCCATCCACGACGTTGAGGCGTTTTTCCGTTGATTGGTGATAAATACTCTCACACATGAGTAATTCATCGCAACATTGTCATTAAGTACTTATGACAATGCAAAGGATGTGAAAAATAAAGGTATAGATATTGCTATTAAACGCTCACATTAACGCAAAAAAAATATAAAAATAACGGTATGGATAACCTGTCAGCTTAGCCAGCTGTTCATGTAATTAGTCTTGCATTGTTAAATTTTATCGATGCAACTGTTCAGTACACATTGGATTAACAAAAAAGTGATTGAACTTTCTTGACTACCGTGAAGGCGTGGAAGCTTATTCAGTGTTCATTAGATTCTCTTCTTTGGGTGCATCCCATTGTGGTATATTGGTCGGTAAGTTTTGATTTGTCCAGACGAAGTACTTTCTAGACATTCGACGAAGGAAATACGTGATCTCGTTTTACGGCGGATACCTTTTACCTAACATTGCCTCCCTAATATTGCCTTGCAGTAAGGTGTAACTAAATTGGTGCGTCCGTGTTAAGCAGGGAATCGGGAGAAAGGCAGTGAATCACTGATGAAAATCACTTAAATTTAAACCTTAAATTTAAAAAAGCAAATGGCAAGCAAATTTAACAATTAGCTTGCAGGTTTATTCTTCTGATGCAATGTCGAAGGCGAATTGGGTATTCTCTCATGTCATCCTAGTTTTGACCGAGAAGACCGACGTTTCCTTGTTTTTTTTTTGGACTGCGTAACAGAAGAGGGTACCATAAAGATAAACTCGCTTCCAACAGCTTCTGTAAGAACGTCGTGCCTGATTGCAGCAACTCAGCTATCTTTCATTAACAAACCGTCTCCGAGAAGCTGCTTCAGTCAAGGTAACTGGGACCCAGGTAAGAATTTAAATCAATTTGACCCAATACTTTAGCGATATTAAAGTTTTTCTTAAGGTTAGCAACCTACGTATCATCAGCTATTCCGACTAAAATTATTCTGAAAAAAACAGGCAGTGGCCTAAGTCAAAATAATGGAACGGCAAGCACTTTATTGCTGTAGGCGCTCTCTTGGCAGCCCCAGACCGGGTAGCAACTGTCGCTTTCGTCGCATGCAGGGCCGTTATTTGGACAACCAATCGGTCTTCAAACGGATTACTACCGGCATGGAAATGGTGATATAATAAATCAGGCAACATTAATTATTGATTAGTATGCATGAACTAACGTCGTTATTTTGCCTATTTTTGATATTGACGTTACGCGTGGTTGCAATCAATAATACTTGACTACATTTGGTTCGGTAGATCGTATTAAACATGCGCCGCAAAATTTTATCATAGCGTTGATGAGCTTTAAAACCCTAGTACCTTCGTGGCCACTTCTAATAAGCTCATTATCAATAAAACATTTCAGGTACTATACGTTGGCAGCATGTCGCAGTACGGCTGTAATGGCGCTAGTATTAAAATGATGCACGGTTTCTGCATGAATCATGTCCGTTTTTGTTAATACCTTTTCGAAGTCCTCTTTGCTAGCACCCGCATGATACGTATTGCGTGAACGAAAATATAATAAGTGGTACAGGTTTTGCATTTTGAGCAGGAAATGCTCAAATTCGCACATTGAATACGGTGTTCAAGTTTGTGATTATTGGGAAGTTCGCACAGACAGTTTTATGAACAATTATTAATAATGTAATAAAGAGCGTCATGGTACTGTCCGGTCAAATATTGTTCTTGACCTTTCCTTTTGCCTGAGCTCTTCAGGATACTTCAAGGTGCAAAATTATTTCCGAAATATGATTTGCCACTTTCGAATTTTTAAAACAAGTAATCCTGCGAACGCACGCTCGAGTGTGCCCACGTTTGTATAGCCGTGCATAAATTCGTCTTTAAAACCCGACATTTTGGAGATTTACGCTTCACGATGCAATAATCTACGCCAGTTATATTTCCAATTTCAACTAAATGGGACCGGCACATCATACCTTCTCAGTGGCCATATAAAATTTGGAAAAAAGTGCAGAGTTATAATAAGTAGTTTACATTTATCAAAATATTGCATACTTGAAGACGCTGTTGTTATAGTTCGTTTCACCTTAAATGCAGACGCCACCGACGCTACGAGCTGGTAGCACCAATCAGTCGGCGTCAAGAGCTCACCGTTATAGGGTTTTGTCGTTCTTGCGTGCGTGTTATATTATCGCCGAAGCAGTCATTAGAGAAAAGACTTGCGCTTCTGACGCTGGTTTATTGGTGTCGTTAGCTCGTGGCGTCGGCTGCGTATGGACTTGAGCTGAAACAAATTATATACTGGGTAATTCAAGGAGCGACCAGGCTCTTTAAATCGACCGCAAAATTCGGTTTCTTAACCTATCGCGCTACGACTCCGTGCAGCGTTGCCCACAGATGGTGCATTTGTTGTTGTTGTTTTTTTGTGTAAAATTTGCAAAGAGCGAGTTTACCCGAGGTGGAAGTAAAGAAAGAAAACGGCTTACAGTTGAAAACGAGCGTGTTGGTTAATAGATACAAAACTTGAAAGTATAAACAGAGAGGACGAGGACGGGAACAGGACATCTTTCATTTAGCAACAACATAGAATGGCACAACGATAAAAAACCGCCCCCAAGGGTCTCAACGTTCTCAAAGAGGGAAAGGAGATACTAGTTATAAAGGAAAGGGAATACACTAAAAGAAAAGTTTGAAAAGCGCATCAGTAATCTAGTTATTTTCGATTACTTAAAATTAACCTTGGTCATTGTCAGTGATAATGCGGAATTATTCTTGTTTGCAGTCCAAAAAGGGAATTGTACTATAAATATAAAAGTTTAAAAAGTTGTAGCGTCACGACGAGGTGTCAATATTCTAGTCATCTCTGGTGTTAAGAATTCGACCTCTGTCTTTGTCAATGATAATGACGGTGCAGAAATGTTGTTGTTAACAGTCCCCATGGCAAATGACTCGATGATTTCTCTCCCAAATCTGTTATTGTGCCCGCCCAGTATATTAGTATTAGAAAAATGAGGTGTACAGTCATCGCATGTGCGGCTGTGAACGACAATGGGGTGATACGACTCAGTTGAAGCCTTGGATGCTTCCAAGTTATGTTCTCTGAGTCGGTGGTTGACGCATCTCCCAGTCTGTCCAATGTACTGACTGCCACAGCTTAGTGGAATCGAATAAACCTTCCTTTCTTCGCATTCTACGAACTTTTTTGCATGTTTTACATTGCACCCTCGGGGACTGTCGCTTCATTAACCTTTTTACACATCTGTTTGAGGCGCATAAACAGTGCGCCGTCTCTTGTCTCCCGTGCGAAACGGCGCCGTATTGTTTGAAGACCGGTGGCTTCGCTGCGTTTCCATAGGAGCTAAGCCTTTTCCTTTCTTTAGTTTTTCCTCAAGTAAATTCGCTCTTTATAAATAAAAAAAAAAAAGTATTTTCTGTGGGCAACGTTGCACGAAGTAGTAGCGCGATAGGTTAAGAAAACGATTGTTGCGGTCGATTTAAGGAGCCTGGCCGCTCCTTGACTCACCCGGTAATACAAGCCTAAGTCTTGGGTAGTAACGCGTTACCAGAAACGTGTTATTGTAACTTCATTACTTTTTTTGGTAAAATGTAACTGTAACTAATTTCTTTTTATAAACGTACTCTCTAACTCTAATCCTACCATTAAAAAAAAACAAAAAAAAAAAGAAAACGATAAAAGTGTAGACGTTAGTTTGAAGAATACGATATCATTGAACGAACACGATCTACAGTCATTCCCTGTACTTTCCAAACTAGGCGTCTCGGCATTCCGAGTGTCGATCGAGCTCCCCTTGCGCCAGCTTTATAAATATGCTGTTTCTGGCGAGTCACGACCCAAATCTAATCACGCGTAGATTTGAAAAGGATGGTTTTTTTCCCCACCTAGGGGTACTTCAAATCAATCGAAGGGCGACGCCGTTATTTGTTTTTTTTATTGGCTATATAAACTAATTAAAGCAATTTCGACGATAGGTGTTTCTAGCAAAGAGAAAGGCAGTAGGCAACAAAATAACCTAAAAGTGTGAAATCAACATTTCGAAACTTGGTATTAGCTTTGTCGACAGCTTATAGGGAATGTGTTACGTTCATCCTATTTTTTTTTTTCGGGATTCATTCGTGTGTGATCTTGTTAGTTAATGCCGTAATCTCAACCACAAAAAGAGTCCCGGGCCTCACCGCATCCTGCGTTTCTTAAATTGTCAATGACTATATCTGACGTTTCCATTGAAATTTTATTTGTTAAAATGGTATGAATGACGCGGCAAAAATCTATAAATAAATTGCAATGAAATAAGCTTAAAAATGAACTAATATCAGAAGAATATCATGGCTTAAAAAAGAAATTTGGTGTATGTTATTGAACCCAACTTTTTCAAGGTTTCGACTTATAACGTGTTAGCAAGTCAGAGCGTAGTAAAAAGCATCGAGCTATATGTTCAAATTGCTACGTTAGTTTTAACTAAAGTATTAACGTCGTAAAGTTAAGCAATGCCCTTCTTAGGGCTGTTACGAAACCTTAACGAGTTAACACCTCCATCTCTAATATTAAGCACTGCCACGTAAGTGTTTAAAATACACGGATCTCCAAAATCTCTTCGCAGAAAACAAAATGAAGAAACAAGATGTTGGAACGGGACCGGCGAAACCACAGGCAGCAAAGCGAGAAGATAACATCGACAGGTGCTGGCACGTGGCAGGAACCTGTTTGCTAATAACATTTCTCACGTCCGCGACCATTCGGTCATCCGGATTTCTGTATGTTGGTCTCATGGATGAGTTCAACGTCGACCGAGGACAAGCATCCTGGCCAATTTGTCTCATAGGAGCCGTCAGTAACCTGGCGGGTAAGTACAAATAGTAATAATAATAATAATAATAATAATGATAATAATAATATTAATCTATATTGTGTTCATTTAATTTCTGGCTCGTACGACGCACGCTACTGTAACGACAGAAAAACGTGTCGAGCAACTACGATTTTGGCTGTAGCTGTACTCCGTTTCGCTTTCAGCTTTCATTACAACCGAAGCTGACGCTGCGATTTGCTGGAGCCAATCAAGCGGCGGCACCGAAATCGCATCGTCATGGCGCAGCGCGCGTTGTGTTTGTGGGTTATGCTATCGCCGGCAAAACCAGAAACGTACAGAAAAAAAAGGGCGTGGGTGCGCCGCATTTAATGTGAGTGATTCGTTTAGTCGGTAACACCGAACGTACAAAAAGACTACGTGTGGCGTGACGATGCACTTTTGGTGCTGTTTAATATGCTCCGTCTAATCGCGGCGTTCGCTGTGGTCGGACTTGAACGGAGTATTCGCCAACGCAGTGTTTTTAAAGAAGCCCGCTTTGCGCACACCAGGGGCCCTAATCTGGACACTTGGCGGAAAAATCGGCGAGAAATTCGGCGGCTATGATTGGCCGACGCCGCACTTGACCTTGGCGCCGGCAAATCATAGCCGTCAGATTTCTCGCCGTCTTTCTCGCCAAATGTCCAGATTAGGGCCCCAGGGCCCCTAAACTCGTCAAACACAAAGTTGAGGCCGAAGTTGACGGAGTGCACCGATTGGCCTATCACGACGATGACTTCGGGCTTTTTTCGCCGACGTCCAATCAGCGCGCTCTGCGAACTTTCGGCTCCAACTTTGTGTTTGACGAGTATAGGGCCCCAGGGGCCCTAAACTCGTCAAATACAAAGTTGGAGGCAAAGTTGACGGAGCGCGCCGATCGGACAATCACGACAATGACTTCGCGTTGCTCTCGTCGACATCCAATCGGCGCGCTCTGCGAACTTTCGTCTACAACTTTGTATTTTCCGAGTTCAGGGCCCCTGGTGTGGGCTTTGCGTGTTCGCAGAAACCAGCTTCGGGAGGAGTGGAGCGTCTGCGCATGCGTATTACCGAGAGCAGCGCCACCTCAGAGGCGTGACGTCAGGGAGTTGAGTTGGTCTATAGACAGGACTCGTTCAAACGAAATTATGTTTGAGAGCATGAAATTAAAATTTAGAGTGTCGAGAAATGTGTACACAAGCCCCAATAAGCTAGTAGTCGTGTAGAACTTTTGACTTGGTAAATTTGATGATATTTAGTTGGTAGTGGCTTATATTGAAGTCATACATCAAGGTAAATATATACATATATATATATATATATATATATATATATATATATGTGTGTGTGCGTGTTTTATTGTGGAACCACTTTCATGGTTTGGGGCACAAAGTTACTTGTTCCAGAAAGAGTTGGACGGATGGCAAGTAGTGGCGGTGCCAAGTATATATATATATATATATATATATATATATATATATATATATGGGTGGTTTCATCTCAAATCGTGCAGGCAAAAAGGGTCGAATTTTTAATTTTTATGAAAAAAATATATGTTATGTCGCCGTTTCTGAACCCGCAGTCGACACAAACCGCAAGTTCGTCGGATTTTTTGTTCTCGACTTATGAATTTTTAAAGAGGCCGCGGCGAAAAGCAGTGTTTTTCACACCCGTCGTGGGTCGGATGTATCGCTTGATCTCCCGCCATGGATTTGCAGTCCACATTATATTATCTTTTTTGAAGCACTCTGTGGACACATTTAAAAGGCTTCGATACCATTAAATAATTTTAGGCCTTTTGCTTTTTTTCTGTAAAAATGTCAAAAACGCCTCCTCGGTCAATTGTTGACGAACTTTGACAATTAATTACTGGCGATCTACGTGGGTTACACCGATATTTTTTATGTCCACGGAGAGCCCAACACACGCTCTTTATATTTATAATAAAATTCCTTGGCTGTATAAAATATCCTTTGCGGTACGTTTACGTTAATAATATAAAAAAAACAAAAAGTACCATTTTTGAAATTGATTTTCTTAAAAAACCCATTTTTTATTTTTTTTTATTTTTTTGTTCAAATGTAGATATGATAGTTGTCTACACGAAAATCAAGCCTAGAAAGTTTATATTTTGTTTGTATGTTCTACATTTAAGCGTCAATATCGCACAAAAACGTGTTTTTACGGCTCGAAATGGACTTGCGAATTGCGCGTCTTCACAAGCTTGGAAATAGTTTTTTCTTTTTTTTCAACGTTCCCACATAAAAATAAAATACAGTATTTCCACCCTGATATATTTATTGATTATTTAAATTTTATTATAGGCGGCAAGCTACATCGGAGGAGTTCCAAAAAGAGAAAGCAACACTTCTTAACAGACCAGCAGGTGTCGTAAATTTTTAACGTGCAGGAGTCGGCAGACGTCTTATTCATTCGGGGCCCTCATTGGCCTGCATGAACGTCCCACCCTTTCGGAGCCAGCAAGTCACCACGACCTTTCGCGCTCGTTGTGTTAGATGGGACGGCCCGTGACAGTAAAGCGAGCAGCGCACCCTGTGTCACGAGGAGTGAAATGGTACGATTGTGTCGTTGACGCGGCGAACACTGACAGCCACCCAGGAGGAGTCTGTCAGAGTATTGCACAAGGGAAAGCAAAGGAATCGTTGCCTGAAAGGATGAGGACACCACGGCCTTACAGTGTCGACGGTCAACAACTGTTCTGCCAGCCAAAACAACGCCGCGTGCGCGCTAAAACCGGCGGCGCGGGACAGAAATCCCGCAAACGCACACACGAAGATGGGCCAGTTTCGTTAGGGATGTGGGAAAATCTGAAACCAGCCATCCGTGCATGCGTGAAACGATGCCGCCTGTTTGCCCTAGCTTCGAGCGCCCAATCCTTACCTTGAAACGGCCGTGCTCTCTCTCTCTCTCCGGGGAGATCCGATAGCACCGAAGGGTTATCTATTAAACTTGAGGAAGAAAACGAGAAGGGAGTGTTTAAGTTTAATTATCCCCACCAAACCGCTCGTTCTGTCCTTATAAAGGGTTATCTCTTTTGGAAACAGCCCGGAGACTGACATTAAAACGAGCGTGTTGGTAAATATACTTGTGTTTGTATTTTGCCGGAGACTAGTTGGGTCGAAGTCAGCCTCCTTGTCAACTATAACCGTTTGTGAAGAGTGGGCTTCTCCCGAGATGAAACGTTAGCGCCGGCTGACGTGTTCTTTTGAAAAGGGGAAGGGGAAAGAGAAAGTTTGAGTAACTGCAGAAACTACCTCGAAAGCTCCTCTCCCGATATGAAGCTTGAAGCATAGTCTCGGTTACCTTCTCGCGCATCGCCTACTCGAATCTATTCTTCACTTTCTTTCGTACAGCCACTGTTCCGCACAGCCGTCGTGGATGTGCGTAATAGAGGGAGGAACAGATTCGAGCATCATCTGGACGCCGTCATCATGCCAGACTTCAATGCCGTGGGACCGACTCGTGTGTGTTTCTTCGCCCCGCTGAACTTTGTTTCTAGGGTGCGGTTTTTTCTGAACGTTTTCTTTTGTTTGTTTTTTAATGTTTTCTTACTAACTGTTCGTTAGCACTGTTCAGTTGTTGGGTTTATTTCGTCATGGCGTAGCGGCCTGGCGGTGATGTAGAGAGCGTGTTCGCACGCATTTGGTTGCGTCCCGTTTAGGGAATGCCCGGGGGAGTTGGTTTTTGTTCTTGCCATGTGCGGCTGAGTTTTCCCGTCTTTATTAAATTATTGATTTTTTTTTTTTGTTTTACCTTTACGTGCCGTCGACTTCTTTTTCTGACTCTCCACCAGGCGTGGACCTATCGCCTTGCCACCGCTCGAACCTAAATACTTTATTTTTTTTAACGCAATTTTCGTTAAGATCGGAGTTGGGCAAATTAATTCCTATTTATTTATTTTTATATCCTACCCCTCTCCATGTCACACTCTCTGTGTGTTTCGGACCGTTTCTGTGTCACCACTTTTGTGTATTACGGAGGTGAAAGGACATTCCCTGGTGACCTGTGCGATGTGCGGTGAACAAGCCCCAGTGTTTGGTTTCGTAAAGAATTGTATATAATATATCGACTATGTGGTGACTTTCTTTGTCTTAGTAATATGACAGCTAATAGCTAGTCGTGCTAGTTTACTTTGAAAGGTTTATATATCGAAACAATACAACGTCTGTGCCTTTTGGTTATTGAAAGTCTACTAGGCCTGCTGATTTGGTTAGATATGTATCTCATGGTTCCGGCTCTTATCAAAACATACATAAATATTCAATACCACAAAATCCGTTTATAATTGATTACAAAATGCAGAAGAAAATTCAAGAAGACTTTTTCACAATTCATAGAGACGCATGGGTCGCTATGTCTGACTTAGGTCTTGCAAAACAAAGACGTCTTTTTCCGATATTCGGGCCTAAATATAAAACATGCAAACAAAATATACACTTTCTAGGCTTAATTTTCGTGTAGACAACTATCATATCTACATTTGAACAAAAAATGAAAAAAATAAAAAATGGGTTTTTTGAGAAAATCAGTTTCAAAAATGGTACTTTTTGGTTTTTGCACAATATTAACGTAAACGTACCGCAAAGGATATTTTATACAGTCAAGGTATTTTATTATAAACATAAAGAGCGTGTTTTGTGCCCTCCGTGGACATAAAAAATATCGGTGTAACCCAAGTAGATCGCCAGTAATTAATTGTCAAAGTTCGTCAACAATTGACCGAGGAGGCGTTTTTGACATTTTTACAGAAAAAAAGCAAAAGGCCTAAAATTATTTCATGGTATCGGAGCCTTTTAAATGTGTCCACAGAGTGCTTCAAAAAAGGTAATATAATGTGGACTGAAAATTCATGGCGGGAGATCAAGCGAAACATCCGACCCACGACGGGTGTGAAAAACACTGCTTTTCGCCGCGGCCTCTTTAAAAATTCACAAGTCGAGAACAAAAAATCCGACGAACTTGCGGTTTGTGTCGACTGCGGTTTTAGAAACGGCGCCATAACATATATTTTTTTCATCGAAATTAAAAATTCGACCCTTTTTGCCTGCACGATTTCAGATGAAACCACCCATATAATATATATATATATATATATATATATATATATATATATATATATATATATATATATATATATACAAAACTTCGTGGCACAGTTACCAAGACTTTGGGTCTCTCCTATTTTATTGTTTTACCTACTGCGAATTGTTTTCAAAGTTTAAATGTTACCAACGAGCAATTTCACACTGGTCGTCAAACGGCCGAAGGTTCGCCCTCATGAACAGTCATCTGGATGTAAATATGTGAAGCTTCTCACCGAAATTTTAGTTTTTGTCAGGACCAGACAAAACTGCGCCTTATAAATTGTTTCGTGTCTCATTATTCTACACCTAATTTTCGCAAATAAATGGCTACGACACCCTGTAACGGCAAACACAAATTTAGCATAATGAGTGCCCCAATTCATTTCGTGCGTTGGAGGGTCCCCCAACACGCGCAAAACTTTGCCGCAAAAAAAAAAATATATATATATATATGTATATTTATATATATTTTATTTTCGTTTAAGTAATCGAAGAATAGTATTTGAGCCGCCTGATTGTTATATTCTCGGCGGAGTGCAGGGATAGCGAGTCATCGCGGTCAAAAGAAGCAGCCTTATGACTTCTGGAACGCGTGGAATGACCTCACGTTAAGATGGTTCCTGTGAATGTCTCAGTTTCGTTTGCTTTTTCTGTCTCGGAATTCGGTAAGTCTTCAACGTAGTACACTGCTGTAGATGTTTGCAAGTCCGACTTCAGGGCGCCGCCATCTTCCTCGCTCGGGGTGTGCTTGGACGCGTCATAATCCGATTACGACGCCTTGCTAAGGCGTCGTGATCAGATTATTACGTGCCCAAGCGTACCCCGAGCGGGTAAGATGGCGGCGTCCTGAGGTTTTACAGAGCCACAATGTTTGTATTAATCGATTAAATGCGGTATATTTAATTTAGCATGCAATTCTAGACTCTTGGATTCTATTTAACGTGAGCCACCTTTACGAAAATCGATTGGTTTCGAGCCAAGTTGTGCTAAAAACTCCATGAGATTAGGTTCAAGTCATGTCGGATCAGTTAGGGTCGCGGAAAGTCGAGGCTAGTTTCAAAATTTCGGCCAAAATAAAGTTTTCGTTCACACAAAACAAAGAAAACCAGCGACTAAGAAAGCTGGACAGGAGGCCCCTAATGCGTCTGCAAAAAAATCAAAACTTGCAGTAGAAAGCTTACATTGCATTTGGCTCATAATTTAAAGTTATAATGAGCGTTGCTGACCTGTTAAAAGAAACCTACCCGCATCGAGAGCGAAAATGCGTTATAAAAAATAAGATTACATTCGAGTATCAACAGCTTACAAATTATTAAAAAAAAAAAAAAGATAACTGTTCCTTAATAACGAGCGCAATAAAAAAACAATTTTCTTACTTTTAGGTATTGTGGCCGGGCCGGTCTGTCAGAAATACACGGCAAAGCCACCCATGATTGCCGGGAGCATCATTATGTGGATTGGCATTATCTCCTCCAGCTTTGCACCCAACATTCTCTGGGTGTCCATAACACAAGGTATTTTGTTCGGTAAGTGAACGCTGTATCGAATGATTTATGGGGCAGATCATTGATTTATAGCAACCAACAAGCCAAGTTGAATTCCACTGTCGACTGTTTTGTTATTTGGTCATTTGCTGTAACATGCACTGAAATTCATCATTCCAGTGGCCACGATAAGCAAAGTGTTAACCGTATATAAAACTATAGGACGTCAGCTAATTTTAAAACTGAGGACTAATTCCAAGTGAGAACACTGAGGACTAATTCCAAAAAAGTGCCGGCCGGCACTTTTTTGCTACGGCCACATATACGTTCTTGAAAAGTATACTGTAAAGTAGAGTCTCCGGAACGCTGAAGTGAACGGGTTTAGCATTTCTAAGCTTTTAAGCATTACTCTACTGATTTAAGTAGGATCCAATCGTGTCTGCTGTCTCCTGTTTTAAACGTACCACTCTCTACTGAAATGATCCTGTCTACAGGGTGATTTAAGGAAAGGCCAGGCTCTTTAAATCGACCGCAAAATTCTGTTTCTTAACCTATCGCGCTATGACTTTGTGCAGCGTTGACCACAGATGATGCATTTTTTTTTTTTGTAAAATTTGCAAAGAGCGGAACTTACCTGAGAAAAAAGTAAACAAAGAAAAAGGCTTAGCTCCTATGGAAACGCAGCGACGCCACCGGTCTTCGAAAAACACGGTGCCGTTTCGCACGGGAGACAAGAGATGGCGCAACAAAGGCCTCCAACGAACCAGCACACGGCGCCGAGAGCCGACGTCTTTAGCAGACAATCTTTTCAACTCAAAAGCGGCGCGCGTTCCGCACGCGGCGGCAGTCGCAGAAACAAAAACAGGCGCGGTAACAACAAGGAACTGCAGTTCCTTGTTTGCTAAAAACGCCGGCTCTTGGCGTCGTATGCTCGTTCGTTGGTGGCAGTTGGAGTCGCGACCGCTGGCGCCATCTCTTGTCTCCCGTGCGAAACGGTGCCGTGTTGTTTGAAGACCGGTGGCTTCGCTGCGTTTCCATAGGAGCTAAGCCTTTTTCTTTCTTTACCTTTTTTTCAGGTAAGTTCGCATTTTGCAAACTTTACAAAAAAAAAAAAAAGCACCATCTGTGGGTAACGCTGCACAAAGTCGTAGCGCGATAGGTTAAAAAACCGAATTTTGCGGTCGATTTAAAGAGCCTGGCCTTTCCTTGAATGACCCTGTAGTAACTGACAAGATGAGAATGGCAGGGCGCCTCTTTTCAACACCCGGCATCCAGCTTACGCTCGCTGCCTTCCGCCATGCTTTGGTTGCGCGTGAGTACTCGAAACCCACAAGAGGCCGAAGCGTTGTCGGAGGTCGGAAAGTCGCTCTGGTGGGGGGCAACTGAAAAACCTCTCTGGTGTTATCATTCTGTCAGTGACTATAATGTTCTTAAGTCAGAATAGCGGACATGTTTGTTTCTTTGAAAACAGGCTTTGGAGCTGGACTGGTCTTCATGATGCTGCCGGTGATAATAACCCAGTATTTCGACAAATACAAGGGTCTCGCATTTGGAATCACGTACAGTGGTTCTACAAGTTCAGCCTTCGTGTTTCCGAGACTGCTGCTCTTTTTGCGAGAGACCTACAACTTCAAGAGCAGTATCAGGATCTTCGGCGCCATCCTGATGCACGTCACAGCCGTCAGCCTCATCCTGAAAGAACCCGAGTGGATAAGACGGAAGCGCCATCAGGACAAACTTGCGAGCAGGCAGCCGAAACAAATAGTACACACCGTTGATCAGCGAGAGCCCAATTCTGTGAAGCCTCCAGCAAAGAATTCACGCCCAGCCGCAGGAAGCTTGATGCACGGACTAACCGTTCTGCAAACTCCGATGTTCTACGTCGTTGTCGCCTCATACATTTTGTTTGGATACACATTCGACGTCTTTATGGCTACCGTCGTTGACTTTGCCACGGACCGAGGTAGCAACGTTTCAGACGCTGTATCACTCATTCCGCTTTTTTCCGTAACGGACACCTTGGGAAGGCTGTGCCTGCCTGTACTGGCAGACAGGGGGTACCTCCGGCGAAGCACGTTGGCGATGATCAACTACACGTTAATGGGACTGATTCTTATGATACTGCCTCGAGTGGAGTCGTACACTGGACTTGTTGTCATATGCCTTGTCTTAGGAACCTTTATTGGTTGTGGTGTTTCCACCTACCCAGCCCTAATGGCCGAATATGTGGACCAGCAGCGTCTTCCGATTAGCTTCGGTCTTGTGGGAACGGTGGCCGGACCACTCTTCATACTCAAGCCCCTATTTATCGGTAGGTATTTTCACTGTACGTTTGACAGAACGAACATTGTACGTAATCTTAACCAGAAAAGAAGCACACTGCTACCTTTCTTTATACCACATGAGCAAAGGCTAATTGGAATATGCATTGCATTATTGGCAACGTTTACTTATAAGTTGTAGACAAGTGGCTGTCTCATTAAAATTAACAGTATATACACCTTAACGTCCGCATATTCCCGCGTCCTACAAATATAAGTATTGGCAAGAATGTAATTTTTCTTTGTATGCGAACGCAAAAGGAGACAAGTGACACAAAAACGTGCAAGACACGAACACGTTTTTGGCCTTTCCTGACGCGACATCACTTTATAAGCCTTTACAATTTTTTTTATTGATTTTTACGTGGTCACTAAACAATTCTACTTAGATAATTTGGTAACTTTTACAACTATACCGTTAACAAGGGTAGCCAATAATGTTGAAAGACGAGCTGCACTATTATTAACTGATTCTAAAACGAATCACTCCAAAGGATTTAGTAATGATCTATGCTTCTAGTACCTGAATGGTTATATATCTATAAGCATTTTAGCCTGCCGGAAAGGGCCGTTGACAGAGGAAATATTTCTAGAGTGCAGCTCTTAGGTGCCCGTTGCCGGCTCGAACGGCGTCGGCGTCGCCGTCGACGTAACCACGCGTTGCATTATGGGACGTTTCCATAATGGCGTCACATGTGACGTCACGAGGGTTACGACGGAGGAGGAGGAGGAGGAGAAAATTTTTGCGCTAAATTTAGCGGAAAAAATTGCTCCCTAAGTTTAGGTGAAAACTTTCCCCGCTAATTTTGCGGAAAAATTTCTCCGCTAAATTTAGCGGAAATTTTCTCCCGCTAAATTTAGCAAACACATTCCCCGCTAAATTTAGCGAAAACATTTCCCCGCTAAATTTAGCGGGAAATTTAGCAAAAATTTTTCGCTCAATGGCAGCGGAGCAGGAGACGAGGACGGGAAGGTACGGATGAGGAGGAGGGGCATACCCTCCTCTCTGTACCTTCACCTCCTCCTCCTCAGGAATCGCGCTCTAATTCGGCGTTACGGGGGATTGTAAACGTGTTCCATTATTTATTCTTGAAATAAAAAAAATAAAAAACGTCTGACTAGTCTTGTATACAGAAAACCCGGTTTAGGGAATTGGTCTGGATTTGCTCTTGAATCATTATATTTATAAATACCACAGGGTGTTTGTTTTATTTCGAGCAGATAAAAAATAGGGGGTGAGAGTTAGATAAGTTTTGTGTGCGCCATGTACTTATCATGCTCGGCGGACATTATATGACGGAATAATCTTCATGGAAAGTTAACTAATTACGTCAAATGTGCATTTACTTTTTAATAATATGTTTTAGCGCATGATAGAATTTCATTTTTTCGGCAATTACTTTTGAAGGCCAGACCAATTGCTAAATATATATATATATATCGAAAGTATAAAGGTTTCCGAGACGTTAATCTCTATCTTTTCGCGTCTTGTAGCCTGATTTAGAAATTGCACTCAAAGAGAGCGTCGCAACCCCTGCTCACAACGACGTTTGTCAGAGTGACGTTGTTTTAATCATGTCGCTTTTAACTCGGTAGCGTGCCTTTGGTGGGTGCGCGGACGACACAAGTGACGACGTGATTGAAACGTCACTCTTCCAAGCGTCAATTGTGGGCAAAGTGTGTCGCGCTCTATTTGCGAGTAATTTTTAAATTGGGCAAACACAACAACGAACAGACGCAAACATTGATTGATAAGTATCTAAAAAATGCTACCTTTTCGCTTTTTGCTTTTAAAGTTTGGTTTCTCAATTTTTTATGACTTAATTTTTAATTAAACATTATATTCTCAATTTTGACATTTTCATCAAGCCGTTTTCAGCGTAGAGTTGGAATAGTCCGCAGAAAGGCAGGTGGGGCATTTTTGTTAGCGTTTTTTTTTTTCATTTCTTAGAATGACTGTTGTTACTTATCTACCACATGTTGAAAGAGGAGCCAGCAATTGAAGGGCTGACAGGGTTGTATGTTTCAATAAATTACGATTAAAAATAGAACGCTGGAGTCCCGCAATAGCAAAGGTGTGTATTGCCTCATATGACGCAGTCCGTTTTAAGGGAATCACTCAAGGAAAATGTTTAACGCCTGATGATGCAAACGACCAATATCTCAATTGTCCGCAGACCTATCAAAGACCCGTAAAAGCTGAACAATAGGAGAGTAGTGCTTTAGTTGAGACCTCAGAAGTTGTACGCTGGTGCGCTTTTAAGATTCTATCTCCAAATGGAATTTTCATGATCCCCATTAGGTGGGGCTGTGCACATTGTACTCCAGTGTTTTTTTGTTTGTTTTTAATACATAAAAATTGCGCTTGCGCATGTTCACCTATTCTTATCCAAGATTTTTGTCTGCTTCAATGCGACTATAGAGGATTCTGACGAGTGCATGCGACGCGCTTTGTGATTTGGATAATCTCAACATGAATTAGAAATCTCTGCACCATTCTGGTGCCCCTTCAAAGTAATAAAAACGCAATGAGACGTTCGACTTCAAATCTAGAAAAAATTAATAGCTAAGGCTCAGACATATGTATACGCCCAAAAATATTATTGAGGCATTTTACACCAATACATTATAACTACTGGAAAGTCTAGCGTCTGTCTCACAAAAGTCCTTAAGTTTTGCCCTATCTGGTAGAGATAATAAACTTCCTCTGATTCCATCCAGCATCACAAAGATTATAAGTACGAATTCTTGCGGCAAAATTCGAAACGATATCTACGGAGTTTTGGATCCTCGTAGAACATCTTTATACTGCTTTTAATGTACATTTATTCTTCTATTTCAGGGCATTTTAGGGATAAGATTGGATCCTACGATGGCATGTACAGGATTCTTGCTGGGGGTCTACTTGTGCTCGGAATTCTTTGGTCCGTGGTGGTTTGCTTCGAAAAGCGCTCACAAAGAGTTTGGAAAGTGGAGAAGGAAAGACGCTGTACAAATCAAGTTGCCGGACACTCATTCTACTGTCAACCGGTCTTCGCCACTGCGCAACCTTGTGATAGTGAAGTGGACGCATTGTCTGCTGCTCCAACAAACACTTCTGCACCAACGTGACTGCCCAGCAATGCGTAGAGAAGATTTTGTTACATGAACATCTTAAACTAAATCAAATGTGGAGCAAGGAGATGGCAGTAATTCTAAATCAACTTAACGAAGTGTATCTCATAATTTAATATTTTTTGCTAGTTAAACTTTTAAGAAACTACCTCATTGTTTTCTTTCATTGTTTTTGCATTATCTTTTAAAAAAGGACATTGAAATAGAAGAACCCTCCAATATGGGACAACATATCCAACAGCCATTTCACATGCCCGACTAGATTCCTGCGTGTAATTTACTTGAAGTAAAGAACCTGCCTTTATGACATTGTTTCTCTTAATTTTAAACGATGCCTCTAAGAAAAAAGGCTGCTCAGTAGAATACTTGAGTGGTCGGAAAAAGCTGAAAAACATAGGAGCAGGACGAGGAAACGCACAGATGGCGCTGTTTGTGTGTTTCCTGGACCTGGTCTTACTTTGTTTAGCGCTGTTCAAACCAAACGAGTATGCACCGCCAACTAGCCCAACTGATGCCTCGTGACTGAGTAGAATTAATTTCCCCCGTCTTTCATTTTTTCTAGTGCCTTTTTTTTCACTTTTTGGTGCGCGTCGTGGCGCCATATATTTTTACTCGCGCCTGTTCTAGGACTCGTAAGCAGTGAGACGCGGGCTGATTGCCACTGCTCACTTTAAAGATCGTGGCCATCTTCGGGCCCGCCGGAACTGCATCCTCGGGCCATTCTTGCCTGTGGGATGGAATTTGGAGACTTCTGTAGTGAACTATAAGACCTTGCGCAGAGTGTGCGCTTCGTTCGCCTGATCAATCCTAATTTCTTTGCAATATTGACTCCTTCTCAACGTGAAATAGTAACGCACCTTGGGTCTACTTCTTTTAGATGCATAGCAATTATTAGGCCGGCCCAAGCGCTTTCGTATTTGAGTCTGGAATGTAGCCTCCTCGATGCAGTGTGATGCGCTGAGCGCGCACTTGGCGACTGCTATAAGAGCGGGGACTTTCCTCAGCTTGCGCTCGGCGACAGCAAAGTGCACAAGTATTACGAAGGTTCTTGCTTGCGGGCTTTGTGTATCACCACTGAGGCGCTGGAGCGACATTGGTGAGCGCATCAGGGTAAAAAGAAAGGAGCAACGGACGCTGCGACGCGGCTGTAGAATGCGAGCATCAGAACCAGCAGCGACAAGAAGGTAGGTGCCGTCACACAGCGGCCGCGGGCCACCAGGTCAAGCACCGGCTCACGAATAATCCGTACCGGGCGATGTGTAATCAGACTTGTGCTCGTTACCCGAAAAATATAATAGATTACAGTTACAAATGACCAAGGTTAAAATGCAATGGATTACCGTTACAAATTACTTTCGCTGAAAAGTAACGGATTACCTTACTCGTGAATTTACAAATTTCTTTCACGTTACTTTTTCCGTACACTTATGCAGAAAACAATAGAAACAATTTTGATGCTTTTCAAAAATGTTCTGTAACAATTCTTTTAATTTCTGATATGCCCGCATTATGGTAGTCTTTGTAAAAATAAATTCTTGTATAGTGTACGTGCACTCTGTTCACGTCTAAGCTGACAAGGCACCGAAAGCTGCAACCAAGCCCTCCATCCCGCTAGCTTACGGCCTAGGGAAATGATCCCTGGAATTGTGCAGACAAAGCTAGCGTTGTGCATGCTCAGTAACAGCGTCTACCTCGGCTACGAGATTCTGAGCTAAAGAAGCGATCTACGAAAGCTCTCTTTCGACTCGGGTGTTTCCCCTGTTATTCAGAAGAACAAACAAACTTGGTTCTAACGCTACAATTGTAATAAACACGACGATGCAGAATACGTAGCCAATGCAGAATGCAGGTGTCCCAGCTTATCTTGATGTATCTCCGTAGATTAGAGTTCGTTGTTCTTGCTGATGACAATGTGTTTTTTTTTCGCCAAGCAAAGTATGCACTCAAACTCTAGGTTCCCATTCTCCTTAATGCCCTGACTTTTGAACATCTCATTTAGAGATGGCTATGGAGACGACGGAGACTCCAAGACCGAAAGCTCGACCAGTCTGAGAAAAAGTGGCGGTTACGGGTTACGGATCGTTCATCGGTTGTCACATTCATATCAATATTCGTGCAGGCCAGGGGAGTGGAAGGGTATAGAGAGCGAGAGTAGCGGTGGGCATCGGTCTCACAACACAATAGAGGATCACAACACTTTCACGCGTTCTCTCTCTATGTCCTCGCTCCTTAGATGGTCTAACCCCCCCCCCCCCCCCCCCCCCTGTAAAGTGAGGAGTGCACTCGACCAAAATGCCCAAACTAGTAAAACCACAAAAAAAAAAAAAAGCTTCGCCCATACCCTGGAAGACGATGCTCTCAGACTCGCGCCCGGCGCTTTTGAGCCGCGCCTAAAGTGCGTGCTGTAATACGGTAGCCCACACCAAAAACAAGCAGAAATCGACCCTTTCGCGCCAGGCTACATCGGTTCTTACGCGAGTTGTGAACCCGCAAATCGAGGGGTATGGACCCGGGTTAGATGCCTGTGCAGGTGGCCGGAGACGTCGGAGAAGTTGGAGAGGGTGAAAGGGTGTAAAAGACAAAAAACAATAAATACGAAAAGCTTTCTCCTTCCCGGGAAAAGATGAAAAACTCAATGGAAGGCAACGGGTAGCCTACTCGGTGTTGTGTTACTTGATCTTTGCCTTTCATATATTTGTAATTGCTTTGCCCATTTTTCTACCGGTTCTAGTGACCGGTCATTCAAAAAATTGTGTTTTCGTTTCGGCTATTCTCCCCTTCCTGATGCTTTCTATGTTGTTGGACTTGCTCTCTTTATGCTGCTGAATTTTCTGCTTGTGTTGCTCCAGTAACTGTATTATGCTTATATTTTTAAAAAGTAACCAGTAACTAAAGTAATTTGTTACCAATATTTTGTAACCAAATTACATTACCAATTACTTCCGAAAAAATGTAACACGGCAATTACAAAATTACTTAAAAAGTAACGAATTACAAGTAATCTGTTACTTGTAACGCAGTACTCCCCAAGTCTGTGAGTAATACGCGCCACAGACTGCGGTCAACGTTACTAGACCACATTTCAGTTGTCAAACTGCGGCGTGGCGTGTGTACCCTTTCCGTTACGAGCCGGGAGGGGCGCGCGCGAAGGGGTTTGCCCAGTTTGCTCCTGTCCGTCCAGTCGTCCAGCCCGATTTGCCGTTCGCTGTTTGCACGCTTCGGCCAGATCTGACCAAGTTTGTGCCCATTCTGATCGAGAACTTCTAGAGTGTGCTGATGCGCCATGCCAGTGATGCTATATAAGAAACTACCACGTAGCTTTGTGCCGGGATGCAAAAGAGCTTACGATCTCGCTGGACCTGCTTCTGCGGTTGAAAATTCTGATCGAGAACTTCTAGAATGTGCTGATGCGCCATGCCAGTGATGTTATATAAAAAACTACCACGTAGCTTTGTGCCGGGATGCAAAAGAGCTCACGATCTCGCTGGATCTGCTTCTGCGGTTGAAACAAGGCATTACTTTAGAGCACCGAACGACCCTGAAGGGCTTCGTAAGTGGCAGCGTGTTATTCTAAGAGAGGACAAGGAGATTTCAAGAATCTGGAGTTGGGCAAGTTGGTACATCTTAGATTCGAAAAGCGCCAGAAAACAAGAACAACAGAAGGAATCTGAAGCTGATCGGTGCTCATGTTCTCCTGCACTCGATGAAACGCAGATTTTGGGACGATTTAAAACAAGAACAAAAAAAGAAATCTTCGAGGCTTTTAAAATCAGGGTGAAGGGCGATGGATGTATCAGCACTTCCTCAGTCCTTTTATCAGATAAGGAATTTCAATTCATCTCACGAGAAGTTTGATTGCAAGCAAATGGTTGCTTGATTGTGTGTATATATATGTTTGTTTTTCCGAATAAAACTTTAGTTGAAAGTAGCGCATCGTTTCGTCTATTCCTTCTGTTGTCCTTGTTTTCTAGCGCTTTTGGAATCTGAGATTTCAAGCTCCTGTTTGGTTTGTGATCTGCATTTCCGGAAGAATGACATCACGAAGAACTTCATGCAAACCATTCGTGGTAACGTGGTCGTGATCCCACGCGACAAGTGGGCCCTGGAAGACGACGCCGTGCCTCGTTTGTTTCCGAATTGCCCGAAGTAGTTATCAAAACCGACACGGAAACGTAAGCCACCTACTGAGCGGCCGCCCCCAGGGACAAGGCAAAGGTAACCAAGCACGCACAGACCACAACCTCGACGGTTTTGACGAAAAAATCTGTTCCGCGAACGGCAGCGTGTTACCCGACGGCGCACCACCTCTATACGGCGAACTTTGTCTCATGGCTAAAGCGGGCCAACAAATACAAGGTTGGACTACGGAAGTTACTGATGCCACAATCGTCCTGTACAGACTCGAAATGAAATATGCTGTTCCTCGAGTCAAGAAGGCTGTGACAGTCTCAAGCAGGCTTAGCTTTTCTGTCAGTGCTAGGGGTCGGCTTGTGCCGTCAAGCGTGTATGCCAGGGACTTGGCTGTGGAGTTAAATGGCTCAGGAAACAAATTTCGGGCTGGAATAAATCAATTTATATCGGAATTTTACTAATAGCATATCGGTCAGTGGGTCAAAAAAAAAAAAAAAGGTAGAAAGTCAAAAGCCCTACTTTCGGTACGAAAATTTGAAAACATAGCGGACTATTTCCTACCTCCTTCAATTCGTAAGCTCTCTGCATTTTCACTGTGATACATCCGCGGACTCCGCAGTGATACATCCGGCAAGAAAAAACGTGAGAACCGGAGATAACAGCGCAGCGTTGCAGTCCCACGAATACTGCCGCTCACAAAAAGTGGGCCTTAGTGTCGATGGCGCCCGCTGGGGGTAGGGGAATTAATCGCGTGTCAATCTTCAACACTACGGCTTTCGGGCGTCTCGTGATAGAGCCGCCGTGGGAGAAGGTCGCGTTCCTCGGCGCTCCCGCCGAGCTGCATGAATTGCTCCTGCCCGCCGCTCGCCCGCCCGAAC